TATAGAATGGCAAAAAAAACGAATTTGCTGTTCAATGTATTTTTGCTCTTCGCGAGTACTTTTATCACTTTCTTTAAGAAATTGTAACCTAATCGGTCTACAAAATCGCGATGAGAAAGGCCTTGGATTTTGCCAAACAACAATATCTTCATGATTTTCATTGACAACAGAGAGCTGCAAAGGAACAGTTGAAGTAAAAAAGATATTGGCGTCACTGCTGTCTTTATCACTAAACTTTTGTTTTTATTCTTGACCCGTGGAACCATCACACCCCCACTTTAAAATTAACTGCAACTTTTCAAAATATGTCGGATGTAATTTGTTTATATCTTCAAATGTCACTTGCAAAAGCCTTTCGGAAATGTGATCTAGCAGAGCTTGCAACTTTACTTCAGCGCTTGTTTCTGTTACAGTCATAGCAGATGGGTCAGGATAACAGCGACGTTTAGCAGCTAAGATTTTATTGTACGATGGATAAACTGACGTACCGCAGTTCGTGTTTGTCAAATTTCTCATTATTTTTGTAGGTTTCTTTCGTCATTTTACCTGAGATGATCAAATTTAAAGCAAGATCGGCGGGTATCTCGCACGTTTGTGGTTTTTGAGATGCTTTGAGAGCCGCTTGATACCTAGAAGCTCGCATAGGAGATTTAGTAGTTATATCTTTCAGAACACTTGAAGCCTGAGGGGCACCGGATGCACGAAGACTCATTTGTGTTGCGTATGCCAACTCCGATGTACTGTGTTATGCATGCAGATTCTCTGTTTTTCGACGTTTGCTTCGCTCACTCAAAGCGTCGAATTCTGTAGAACCTCGACACAACTTCTTTAATCCTGTTGAGGATCTGCCCGGTTCGTACGTTTTATGCTGTTCCGCTTCATAAGAAATCTACAACACAAATGCGATTTTTTACACTGTTTCAACTTTTCGATATAACTCACAAATTAAGAGTTATTTTGAGGGTTTCACTTTCAACTACTTAAGATTTGGTTAATGTAAAAATTAGGAAATTTGTAAATATATAATTCCAATATTCGCTTTAAGAAAATTGAAATCACAATCTTCCGCAAATAAAATCTTTAACGCTTTGAAATTTAAAAAAAGATGATCCCTGAATCTTGAATTTAAATTTGAAAATTTAAAAAAATTTAATTTATACATTTATATATTTTGATTTTGTGTAATAAATACATAATATGAATATTATTTGAATGTTATAATAGTTATTGACAATTTATAATTATTGATAATTATTGACAATTTTGTATACTTTAATATATAAATAATAATAATAATAATAGTTATTTATTGATTATCATAATTATAAAAATAACATAAATATTTAATTAAAATTGTCTCTATTTTTTAATGTAAAACATTTAATTTGTAAAATTTCCAACTACTGATTTCTGAAATTTTTGATAAAACACAAAATCTGATATGGAGTTTATCTAAAGTATAAATCTAATCTACTCACTGCAATAGTTGTGGACATATTTAACCATACTTTATTTTTACTGAGAAATGTATCTTTTTTTCTGCTTGACTCCTTCCATTTTCTTTTGAAATTGCACAGCAACTTCTTCAAATTGATTACTGAATCTGGGTTTATCTTAAAAGGTACGCGTGACTTTTAATTAAAATATTTTTCCAAAAGCAGAATCTGCGCGTCTAGCTCCGTTTGAAAATTTCTTTTTGTCACTTCATAAATTTCCTTGTGAGTGTACGTCATAGTACAGGGTACTGCAAAGTAATACAAACATATTTAATACATAGTAACTAGCTTCGTTTAAGATACATTCTTAAATTTAAAAATATAAACACTTAATGCCTTAGAAACAAACACCCTGTACATAGATTTAGAATTTTTTTTAAGAAAACGTTAGGTATAAAGGGGACGAGCGCTTAACCCTTGTAGGCTAATCTGATATAATGATAGGGATTAAACCAAATTTCCCTGACATTTTTCGGTTTTCCAGCGATTTTTTATATATTTTTTTATTATATTGTTTATTGCATTAAAAATAGTAATTTGATTAAAAAACATAAATTAATCAAACAGTTTTTAAAAGTTTAAAAAGATTAAAAGAAAAAATTCTATATATTTTTTATTTATAACTACCATACATACAAATTACCAATACGGTTTTATAACATTTTATATAGATATTAAACCTGAGATATAAATATTAAACCTGAGACACCCTGTATATTTTAATATAATTTAATATAATTTTTATCAAAATATTCATTATAAAATAAATAATACTAAGAAGAAAAAAGACCACCACTTCTCAAACAAATTTTGTTTAATATGTCCAAGAACCACTAATAATTCTCATTCTATTTTGAAAAATAAATACCTATGCGTTTATTTTGCTATAGGCTGTAACTTATTTAAATCGTTTGGCAAAACATTTCTTTTAATACATTAAATTTTAAAACAGTTTCATTAATTATTTCCTGATAAAATAAACTTCCTGATATTTCTCGGTTTTCCAGAAAGTAGCCACCCTATTTTATGTACTAAAAGAAAAACGCGTGGCTCTACAAAATGTAATGCTACAGCCAAAACCACAGAAAGCAGCAAGAAATTTTTGTTGATTTTTATTTGTTATATCAATATTTCAACTTGAAATTTTACAACAGCATAAGATCTCGTTGGATGATAACTATTTCAATGCTTTTTATAGGACGAATCCATAAATGTTCATATTATACAGTTGCTTATTCAATGTCATTTTTATATCTCATAAAATGTCTTAATTTAGGATTTACAAGTGTGAGATTATTTTACATACCTTTAGGATTACCCTCCATCACACCGATTTGGAAACTGACACCGCAATAAATTGTTTGCAGTGAATTACTCTTGTAGTTCACACATAAGGCGCGTCGAAATACTTACTCTGGCGGAGCTTAATTGTAACTGACCTACAGATGCGAGTACCGAAGCTACCTAATTTTCCCTGTAGTTTAATACGTAGAATAGGTCCATTTACCATTTTACATACACAAACATCACAATTATTCATTAAATTTTTCGGCTTTTGGCCAGCCTTTTTGATTTTGGACCACTGTGCGGCGGTCGTAAATTCCGAAAATCACAAAGTGATGAAAACGAAACGGGAAACGATACTAATTAACAATTTATGGTTTATTTCAAAAAAATTTATTTTATTTCTTATTTGCTCACAGTGTAGAACTTTGGAAATTGTGAAAAGTGAAAATAAACTTTATTTTTCTATTAAAAATTAGACTTTGCTTTTTATTTTTTTTTTCTTTTACCTACTTATTAACGGTTTAGCATTAACTAAGACAAAAAGCATAAGCAATATTAATATTTTTTTAAACAAGGCTATTTATGTAAAAATCTTAAAAGTAACCGTTTTGGGTGTAACAATATTAGCCAAATACGGTTATATTGTAAATTTATTATTATGATTGTAAATTCACACAAAATGTTTTTTTGTTAATGTTTATTTCAAATTATTTCCGAAGATAAAAATGTTTAACTAATTTTTTTTGCATTATTAGTCATTATTGGTTCTTAGCTATAACTTTACAAGTTTATGCGTATAAGTTAAGAATCACCCTTTATTGAACCAATCTTACAATTCAATATTGCCTATTAATTTTACACTTTAATAGCCCCATGTAGCATCTTTATTTTATATTGTATTCATATTTTTTTTTTAATTTGCCCCTTCCCTTCTCCCTAGCCCAATACTACGAGCCCTAACACAAAAATGTTCGGACACTTCATAATTTATACAGAAATATTTTTCGTGAATACTATCTGAAAATTATTAGAAGTTATGAAAAATTCAGCTCATTTTAGCATATACCCCTCGAAGCGATTTTTATTTTTTAAAAGTTTACCTTTTATTTTTAGCTTTTAAAAAAAGGCTAACTTTTAAACTTTTTTTTGTATGAGTAAAAAAATTTATAAATGGACCCATTAAAAAGAGCATAAAATATTATACAAACCCTGAAAATTTGGTAAAAAATAAATAAGTTATAAAAAAGTATAAGTAATTGAAAAATGCTATTTTTAAAGAGTTTTTGCAATTTTCTTAGGAAACGGGAGATTTTGCAGATATATGTATATCGTTATAACTTTCTTATTATTTATACAATTTTTACATTTAGTGCAAGCTTTTTGGATAAAGAAGAATAAAGAAGGAAACACAAGCAAGAATAATGTCAAAGAGGAAGAAAATGATACTAATGCATGCATGGTTTACTCAGGAGGTGTCAAATCAAGTGTCTTGACTCAGGTGCAAGTGAGCACATGTCATGGAATTGTTGGAGCAAATTTATAAAATAAAGAATCCAAGAATGGTGCAAGTTGGAAATGGACAGAAGTTGGAGGTGAGAGGATATGGAAAATTAATCTTGTGGGCATATAATGGTAAAAGATAAATTAAAACTTCACTATCGAATGTGCTGTACCAAGCCTCAAATTTAATTTATTTTCTGCTGGGTGTGCCCTTGATAATGGATATTTTATGTCAGTGTTTTTTAACCTTTTTCGTAGCGCGACCCCCTTAGTACGTAAAAATATTTCGCGACCCCCTACCCTTCGCCCGTATTTTCACTCTGACCTGTATTTTACTATTTCGCCAAACGCCTCCACGGAATAGTAGGTAAAGCTATCGCGCATATATGTGAGCCAGGCCGATGCCGGCTCAAGAGTGAGGCGAGCGAGGCCGCGCCGCGCCGACGAATGCAGGTCGAGTGAGAGCACAAGACACAAGGAGAGTTGCGGGGGCGTCGGGAGGTACAGAGCGGTGCACTCAATGACGGACTGCCGCCAGCCAGCGGGAACAACGTGACCGTGTCAATCGGCGATTCGGTGTCATTTGCGCACGTTTGTTTTGTGTTGAACTCACGTATTTATTTGAATTTACTGAAGTGGCTTGTACTAATGATTAAAAATGGATAAATTTCTAAAAAGAGCAACACAGCCCTCAACTTCTAGTTCTAGTGAGAGTAAATGAAACCAAAGAAAAAACGTCTGTATGACGACAACTATTTAAAATTCGGATTTACTGTGATAGAAAATATACCGCAGTGCGTTATTTGCTTTGATACTTTATCACGAAAAAACAAACCGTTGGAATTTTTCGAAAGAAAATTGAAGGTTCTTAAACATCAAAAAACTGCTGTAGTACAAATGTTCAACGTAAATGAGAAATCGTTGCTGGCTAGTTATTGTGTAGCTTTTCGTGTGGCTAAAGCAGAAAAACCTCATACGATTGCCGAAAATTTAATTTTACCAGCGGCTTTAGATACAGCAGAGATTATGTTCGGCAAACAAGAGGTGGAAAAGCTCAAAAATATACCTCTCTCTGAGAATACTATTCAACGCAGGATAAGTGACATGGCGACTGATGTTCGTGATCAAGTCATAGAAAAAATAAAAGAAAGTACTTATGTGTGCAAAAGCAATGACTGGTTCGGATTCATTATCAGACTAAAACAAGTCATGCCAAACGCTTGTTGGATGCATTGCTTTCTTCACCGCCAAGCTCTTGCGTCCAAAACCTTGCCACAGGAATACAATGAAGTCCTCAATATAAATATAAAAATAGTAAATTGTATTAAAGGAAAAGCATTGCAAACACGATTATTTCTAATCATTTGTGAAGACATGGGTTCACTGCACCAAAATTTACTTTACCACACAGAGGTGAGGTGGTTATTGAAAGGCAAAGATTTTGAAGTTCGAGCTGAACTTTTGGTGTATTTACAGCAGGTCAAGTCAGAATATTCCAAATTCATTTTTGACCCGAAATTCCTTTTAAAACTGGCCTTTCTTTCTGACTTGTTCGAGCATTTAAATAGCTTGAATAAAAGCCTTCAAGGACGGGATGAAAATGTCATTACCGCTAAAGAAAAAATCCATGGCTTTACAAAAAAAATTAACTTGTGGTCATCATCTATCAATCAAAACAAATTCAACTAATTTTTGTCGACCCAGTCTTTCATTGGAGAAGTGGGGTCTGAGATAAACATCAAAGCATATATACCTGGTATGGAAATTGTCTTGCAGAATTTGAAAGAAGAAATGAGCCATTATTTCTCGGTGCAAGAACTATCAGAGAACACTGGACAAAGGTGGATCATAAACCGGTTTTTGAATGCAGCTATAGATGAAGCAAGCTTGGGAACCAACCTAAAAGAAAATCTGCTGAAATTATCTGCCGATGGAATGTTGCACTTGGAATTCAAGTCTGTTAATTTGGATACCTTTTGGTTAAAAAAAACAATACCCAGAATTGACCACAGAAGCTTTGAAGTGTTTGATTCCATTTGCCACCTCTTACTTGTGCGAGTTGACGTTTTCGTCAATGGCCCAAATAAAAAACAAACAAAGGAATCGGCTAAATTTAGAAAATTCTAATCTAATTCCAAATGTAGCAAAAACGGATCTGCGATGGCAGAAATTGGTTGACGAAAAACAGGCGCAACCATCACATTAATGATTGATGTGATTTTTGACTCATGGAAATTTTATAATATAAATCTCATGTTAACTTAAAAATGTCCTATAATTAATATTTTTCTAATAAAAATATTCCTCGCGACCCCCTGCGACCCTCCTATAAAGGCTTTGCGACCCCCCAGGGGGTCGCGACCCACACGTTGAAAAACACTGTTTCATGTCATCGGATAATTTAACATGTCAATTTTTTGACAAACAAGGCAACATAAGAGGCCAAGCAGTAAGGCAAAATAAATTATACCCAATGCTGTTTGCACAAGAAAAGTCGGCAGATTACAATGGCAAAATATGCTCACAACAATAAAAAAATAACAATGACTTAGTTGTTGACCTAGTTTCTGAATGTATGAAAGTAAAAAATATAGACAGTTTAAGAGATTGGCATTGCAAATTAGTTCACCTGAACATCTCATATGTCAAAGATTTTTTAAAGAAAATGAACATAGAGTACATAGACATGGAAAAAGATTTTACATGTGAACAGTGTCTAGCTGGAAAACAACACCAATCAAGTTTTAAGAATAGTGAGTCACGAGCCACAGAAACACTGGAGTTGGTTCATGCAGACGTATGTGGACCAATGGAAACACCTTTGCTAGGTGATGCTAAATATTTCATACTCTTTAAGGATGACTATTCGTCATATAGAAATATTTATTTTTTAAAACAAAAATCTGAAGTACCAAGAGTGATTAAAAACTGTATATCCATGGCTGAAAGGCAAACAGGAATAAAGATAAAAGTTCTAAGGACAGACAATGTTTTGGAGTTTGTGAACAAAGAGGTAACAAAGATTTTGCAAAACAAAGGTATATGCCTCAGAAGAATGGTAGAGCCGAGCGAGAAAATCGCACATTAGTAGAAGCGGCCAAAACAATGATAAATAGCAACAAAATTTAGGAAAGATGTTTTGGGCAGAGGCAATTAATACTGTCTCATACACTTTAAACCGTACAGGCCCAAGCCCTATAAAATCTAATACCCCTTATGAATTATTGCATAAAAAGGAATACAAGATAGAAAACTTCAATATTTTTGGAAGTAGAGTTTCAGTTCATGTACCCAAGGAAAATAGATTGAAGTGGGATCCTAAAAATAAATAAGGATATTTTCTTGGATATGGAGAAAATGTAAAAGGGTTAAGGGTGTATATTCCGGAGAATAATAAAGTTGAAACCCATAGAGACGTGGTTTTCCTACCAGAGAAAAGTTTAAAAGTAAAAGAAGTAAATGAGGTTTTAAATATTGAAGAAAATAATGAGTCTGAGAAAGAAGAACAAAATGAGGAAAATAATGATATATTAAATGAAGACATACAAAGTGATGGGAACTCATTACATGAAGATAATGATGAATCCATCTTTAAATGAAGACATTGTTAATGCAAGTGTGTCGTACCTAGGCTGGTTATGGCCTTAAGTACTCCACCAAGGTTCCTCTCCGGTTGACTCTCCAGATATAGAGGAATACCTACCTCGGGTTACCCAGTTAGGGTTGGTAGTTTAATTTAAAATGCAAAAGTAACTTAAACTGGTTTATTTACCAAGGTAAAAATATGTACAAAATTATATTAGAGTTATATATACAGTATTTACAAAAGTATCGTAGACTGTGAACACAAAGGTTCTTTCATAGCCTTCAATCAGGTCAGGCAAATGTTCCAGGGCTTTTCACAGGCAACTGGCAGGCACGGGCGTGGTTTTCAGTCCTACAGAGAGACAGGGCAGATTTGCAATTGGACTCTAGGGGAAAAATATATATTGTTAGGTTATGTTTTATGCATACAGGATTTACAGTTTAATTAACTCTGTTATTAAAGCTTAATATTATACGGCGTAAAGCCCTGACACTTAATATTCTCTGTGATTTAGTGTTGGTTTTCGAGCTCACAATTGGTAACACCATTTGGAGTTGAGCCACCAGACGACTGATTGTTCATTGAAAAATGCAGCGGTTTTATAGACGAAATTCTGATGACAGGCTTGATGAAAAACAATTGGGGCCGTGTGAAATAAATCCGTCACACGGGCCGTGTGCAACAAGTGTTGACAACACATATGTGGTTGACAACTGTCAAAGCGCCATCTGTTAGAGTTCCGTCTAACTGCAGGTTTCTGGTAGTCCAACTCTTTCCTTGACGTCGGGTAGTTAGGAAAATCGTCTCATAGATGTCGTAATGTGTATTGTTACACAAGATATGAATTAAGAAGAAATATAGGAAGAAATATGATGACTACGAAATGGACCTAGACAGAGTCTTGATGGCAGCAGGTGAGGACGATAATGAACCTATGAGCTATGAGGATGCTTTGGCTAGTAGTGAGGCAAATGAGTGGAGACTGGCAATGGAGGCAGAGATACATACTTTGGAAGAAAATGCATTGAGTGTAAGTGGGTGTATAAAAATAAAAAGAATGAATGTATATAATACTGAAATGTATAGCCCTGTAGCAAAGTTGCTCTCGGTAAGGATTTTCTTAGCTATGTGCAATAATTTTAACTTTAAAGTACATCAGCTTGATGTGTGCAGTGCCTTCTTAAATGGAGATATAGATGATGATTTTTATATTTTATTACCAAAAGGGTTTAATAAAAAAGTTGGTATAGGAAATTTAATGATTTGATTATGTCTTTAAAGTTTGAAAGGTGACAAAATGAATATTGTATTCAAAAATTTTCATTTTAATTTATGTTGATGAATTGCTGGATCAAATGAAAGTGAAATAGATAAAATTAAACATGTTTTAAATCAGAATTTTAAAATGAAGGAAGGTATAAAACATTTTTTAGGCATTTTTTTTTTGGCCGGCGGAGAAATTCTTTATGAACACTCGGTTCCTCTTGGGGCCCCGAGTAGTGTGGGACTCGGTCTATTGACGTATACCCACTAAAACTCCCCCCTTAGGTGGTTCAAATGTTTCGCAATCCTATTGTGTCCTAAATGGTATTACTTCCATAGCTCTAGCCCCGTTGCTTCTATGAAGCGCAGTAGCCGAGGCAGTGGGAGCAATTTTAAAAGTTCTGGTGTGAGTTTAAACTCTCCCAGGTGTGTTCTTCTTAAGGTGTTGAATCCCTCACATTGACACATAATGTGAAGAGGTGTTTCCTCTTCTTCTTCGCATCCTCTACACAAGGGGTCATCTGTCATCCCCATTTTGTGAAGATGTTTTTTGAATGGAGCATGGCCTGTGAGAAGGCCTAATGCTTTCTTTAGTTGGGTCCTGGTATATGTCCTCATTGGTTTCTGCCCTTCAGCAGATGGATTGTCCAAAAGTGCTTTCGAATGCTCCAGACCAGATAGGCTTTCCCAGTATTGTTTGTGTTGTAGTTCTGTCCAGTCAATTAGTTTTTTCCTGGACGATTCTTGGCTGGTGCCGCATGTGGGTTCTGGCCCCATCAGCAGGGTTTCGGCTTCATCAGCTGCGAAGTTTGGCTTCCACCTCATCGAACTGTTTCTGCCTTCTTCTTGCACAAGGATAAGAGTTATCTGGTTTTGTGCTTCGGTTAATGCCGTCATATCTCTCAGACATTCTAGTACGGCCTTCAAATTAATTTCAAATGCCTCCAGTGCCTGGATTGGTTCTGGTTCGTGTGTAATGATGGTGAGCAACTTCTCCGTGGGATTGCTCTCCCTCATTCGTTGGAAACCCAATTGTATGGCAATGATGCCCGCTTAAAGATCGGTTATCTTTTTTCCCAGGTTTAGTATTTCTTGACTGCCTTGTTGAGATACCTCTTTTATGTCCGCAGAAACACCGATCTTTGACCGTTTGTGTTCTACGTACCAGATTAGGTTTTCTTCTTGGCCTGAGTCGGGCAATTTGGTTGTTTATCTCCTCAGCCTTTATCCTTTTTGAGATAAAAGCTTTATTGAAGTGTTTGACCTTGGCTTTGTCTGTTCTAATGGCTAGACTGCCAGTATTTTCTAGCTCTTCAAATATGGCATTATGTCTGATGTTGGAAATAACTTCGGCCATATTTGAGATTAGTCTTTGGGCTCCCGCTAACGCTTCAGCTTTAATCTGAATGTGTAGAGGGGGGAGTTCTAGTATGTTTTCCATGGCTGCGGTCGGTGTAGTTGTCATTGCACCAGTTATTCCCAAGCACGCCAGTCTTTGGATTCTGCTGAGTATCTGTTTTACAGTCCTTGTTTTTGTTGCGTGCCACCATATTAGCGCCGCGTAGGTAATTATGGGTCTGACCATAGCTGTGTACACCCATTGTACCATGCCTGGTGACAGTCCCCAAGATTTACCAAATATTCTTTTACAGGTCATGAATGTTTTTATGGCCATATTTGTTATGTTTTCTATATGCATCCGATAGGTGAGTTTGTCGCGTATTTTTTTTTCTACTTTGCTGACGGCAGCTTTACTGTTTAGGTTGCGGAGAGCAGGGTTCAAAAGTATGACCGTGGATTCTTGTAGAAAAAGTTAATGTTTGTGTCAAAATGTGTTCTA